GGACTAATATGTAATAATAAAGGAAAAAATATATTCGATCTATAGTAAATATGAGATTAGGTTTAGAGTACCTCCTAGAGTACAAGAACCGCAATAACAAGACGAAAACCCGCATTCATTCTTGAATCTTTTTAGGTTGAAGAAGAATAAAAAGACAATTCAAACAGAAGCTGGGAGTGAATCTTCATCAACAAGTGGCAGCGGAGGCAGCAGCTTCAACGAGCTTATGGCATACCTCAGTGAAGGCTTAGTAGTCGATGGTACGGCAGAATCGTTTGACTTAGTTCAATAGTGGAGGTCACGGGCATTAACTTGGCCAATCCTAACCCGATTTGCAATGGATATATTTTCGATCTCAGTCTCCACTATTTCATCCGAGAAGAATACTTGAGGAACGCCGGAATGCATTGCAAAGGGATATTGTTGAAGCCTTGGTTTGCATTAAGGATTGGGATCGGGCCGATCAACGTCTACAGGATACAATTTTGCCGGCAAGCCAAGAATGGATCGATGAATTTAATCGATTAACATTTAATTTTGAAGATGATCCTTCAGCTTCAAATTAAATTGTAAATTTGTAATTTGTAAATATGTATTTACTTTTGACATTGTATTTGTAATTGTATAACTTTGTAAGTTTGTAAAATTTGTAATTCGTCACAAAATGATTACACTCTTTTTTCCTTGCCAAGTTTTTATCCCAATTGGGTTTTTCTTGGTAAGATTTTTAGGCAATCATGAATTACGAATTTAATATACATAATTATTATACATGATTAATTTATTCAATTGTGTTAATAATGTCTGTTGAATGCTAATTTTGATTTTTATATAATTTTAACACAAACTAACTTAATAATTATAAATATTAAAAAATATTAAAAAATTCAGGCTATTCGAGCAGCCCGGTCGGGTTCGGGCAGCCAAATATAAGCCCACTGCCCATTCAAGGGCATTTTTTAGCTCGGGCGGGCGGCCTGAATTTTTTAGGCGGGTCGAGCTCGAGCTCGGGTAAAAACTCGGTATTTTCAGACGGTCGCGGGCGGCCCGTCTAAAATTCCAGCACTACTAAGACCTATATATTTTAAAGAATAGTTGTCTCGTTTTTTCATATTGTAATCACATAGTTTTTGTTAATGGTAAAGAGTAAAAATAACTAGAGCTCCATTTAAAAAAAAATAATAGTAATTATAATTAGAGCTAGATACTCTAGTATAATAATGACAACGTCACAGTTACAACAAAACCCAAAACCGTGGTTGAATGCGTGAATATACGAGGATGTGAGTGTTCATTCAGGGTTTTATTTACCGTTTAGTTTATTAATTCAAATTTTTAAGTTGAGTTGAGATATGATTTTATGTGAGAACTTTTTATTATAGTTAAAAAGTTAAATGTGACTGCTTCTGAGAGTTTTTTACTATAACAAAACTCGAATTCTAAATTTAAATCGGTGAAATAAATGGATAAGAGTAATAAACTCCATACTATATTAAAAAAAAGTCACAACAACGTAACAAATAATTACCAAATAATTAAGTAAGCTAATAACTTTTGTAAGGAGTAAAACAAATATCTATTACGTAATATTGGTGTATAAAAAAGAAATAAATTTTACATTAAAAAGAAAATTTCCGCAGCCAAATAAATAAATAAATACACAACATTTTTTAGAATTCAATGAACATCAGTTCTTGGAGTATTACTACAAGAACTGGATGTTAAAGTATAAAATTATTATTGACTCATCTGTTAATAGTTTAAGTTTTTAAGTTTTTAGGATGGATTGGTAAACTAACATGATATCAGAGCAGGAGGTCCTGAGTTCAAACTTCCGTAATTGTACTCTTTATCCTTATATAAAATTGTCATCATGTGTTGGGTCTTTAATATATCTCAAATTTAAATATTCACGTGTTAAATTTTTTAATTAATTTACTTACACGATTACCCATTATTTAACTCTACATATAAAGGGGAGTATTAAAATAATAATTTTATACTTTTAACACCGGACAAAGTTCTCTTTAACGCATTCACTGCCCACTTTTCTTTTTTCAGAAACAGAAGGACACCAAATATATATGAGTTTCATCACTGCTCTTAAATAAACTTTTGTCTCAGCTCTGTGTCTAAGCTTTCAATCGGTGGCAAATTTTAGTTGGCAATACTCGGAAATCCATTTACACCTAGGTCGGTTATATATTGCAATATTATTAAATTGGACTTAGTTGTGGCCAACACGTATATCTTCTCCTTCACCTTGCCAAATCAGTTAACTACAACGCACTTGGCTTTTAAGCACGTTTTTTTGCTCCTTATATGTATAATATTGTTGTTTGATTTGCTTTTTTCACTTTTGGGGCGTTGATAAATAAATACGGAGGCCTATATACACTGAAACCTCTGCTGTTTTGGAAGAAGGAAACAACCAACCCTCCACCGGGTGGCATATAGCTAATACTTATTCTGCAGGAAAAATATACTACAAGGATGGAAATCAAAATTTCGTCAAATTCAGATAAATCGAATCTATAAGTTGAAATTCGACTAAGAAAGATCAAACAACGACAAATATATAAAAAATGAGATCAGAGTAAAGAGAAGACATAAGGATTTAAAGTTCTTCGGTTGATTAATGTAACCTGAGTGGTTGTTGAATTTCTCATCGAAGTTTTGAGATTACAAACGATCTTTTACATGCTCTTTTAAAATAGAAGGTAAGCAAGTATAATATAAAGTGTTGTAGAAAAATGAGAGTCCAACTCTATGGCCCTGCAAGTGGCACTAATAAAAATAGTATATTAGACGGTTAATAACTGTCGTTAAAACTTATGGCATGGTTTAAAAATTATCGTCTTATCCACAGTCGTTAAATGTCAAGCACTTTATGCGCATGAAAATCTAATGAAAACACTTTAGACGACAGTTTTTATGGAAACTGTCCTCCAATGTGGTTTTTACAAAAACCGTAGTCTAATGTGCTACTTTTAACAACGGTTTTTGAAAAAACTGTCGTCAAAAGTGTTAAATTATTTTTTTTTAAAAATCATATTAACACAACACTATTTCTTTAATTGTTCAAATAATATCTTTATCAAAATATTATTCACAACACAGATTTAGTAAAGACAACAACACAAACTAAAAAGGCCAAAGAATCTTATTTCAAATACTCCTCATATATATTAAATTAAAAATTCTAAAAAAAAAAAAAAAAAAAAAACTTAACAAAGTTTCTCTACAAAATAACACTAACAAAAAAAAATCATAATACAAAGTATAAATCTAAATAAAAAACTGGATTCCAGCGGTTATGATAGTATGATGAACATGGTTGTTGGATTTGGGCGGTGACGGTGGGCGGCGATGGCAACGGCAATGAGGATGACTTCAGCAATGGTTTAGAGAGTGAAAAGTTTGTGGAAGAGATGAAGTGGATTTGGAGGAAATACTTCAAGGTTTGGAGGGAAATGAATTAGAGAGAATTGGGAGGAGGAGAAGAGAGAGAAACAACTTAGAGAGAGAGAGAGAAAGGGGGAGTGGGAACTTAGAAAGAATTTGAGATAAAACTATAGAGTTTGTATAATAAGGGAGATAGAAAAGAATGCTAAAATTATAGAGGATGAGAGAAAATTTGAAAACTTTTTGAAAAAGAATGAGCCAAAAAGGTGCGCCATTTTTTTCTAAATTTTCTTTTACATTAAACGATGATTTTCAAAAATTGTTGTCTAATATACCATATTAGACGACAATTTTTAAAAAACCATCGTCGAATATACCACATTAGACAATGTTTTTTTAAAAACCATCGTCTAATGTGTACATATAGATTTTCAAAACACGAAAATCTCCGTTCTGTGTTTTTAAGCACATTAGACAACGGTTTTCTAAAAAGGGTCATTAATCAGGCGTCATCTAATCTACTGTATATTTGTAGTAGTGTTGGGGTTAGGCGGCTCTTCTCACCTTGCTTGTAGCAGGGAAGTGTTGAGCCCTTCTTGCCGCCCCTGCTCGCGAGTAAGCAGCAATTAGGTCTTACTTTTAGCGAGCATAAGGGCGGGTTTTGCTCAGCTGTGCGGTCATGATCATCCATTTGCCTTCAAGGCATAAGAGTCTTTCAGTTATGAAAGCCTTGGGGGCATAAAGAGGCTTCTGAGGCATGAGAGCCTTTAAAGTATGAATGGGCGTATTGAGACAACATGAAAGCCTTTGGGGCTCGAGAGCCTTTCAGACATACAAGCCTTTAACCCATGAAAGCCTTAGGGGTATCAGAGCCTTTAATTTATGGGAACCTTGTAGGCATGAGAGCAGTTAAATTATCAATAGTCATTTAAAGCCAGCTTTTACATGACTAGAAAAAAAAATGTACATTTCATGAGTTCTTAGCTTCAATCTTGATGACATGAGGTATAATATGATTTTGCTATGGTCATATCTTGGGAATATTATATCTTCACGTTACATATAAAGGTGAAGAACATAATATAAAATTTATTCAATGTAACATTAACGTTGAAAAGAAATAACTAACAATAATTTGGGATAGTTAAATTTCTTGGTGTTATATATATTTCTTTTACCAATGACGTTATAAAGGATTAATAATAATAGTCTGTTACATATTTTTAACGTTAGTGTTATGTTGAATAAATGTTCATTTCTGTGTTTTAGTGGAAATGACGATCATAAAATGCCACATGTATGTGTGTGTGTATATATATATTTATATATATATATATGTATGTATGAATGAATGATTTGATGAGCTCTTTCCTCTCAATATATAATATAGTTTGATTACAACCATGACACATGGCTACAAACCTTTGTCCATGTGTTTGCTTCCTCGCATTTTCTATAAATTAACACATGCACTACTCCAACGCATCAAAAGAGTTGATCAACTTTTCATCAATTTTGCTAGAAAGGAACAGCTAAGCTACAAGCCAACCAAGATGTCCACTTGTGTAGTGACCACCTTTCTCCTTCTCTTAGCCATGGCTAACTCCATGTCTTGCCTCCCAGAGCTCAACACAACATTAACAACTACTACTATTACGGTTCAACATGCCCAAGCCAAGCTTCTTCAAGCAAAGAACTGGGTCCAATATTCCTCTATGGAACTACATGGGTTGGATAGAGAGTCTTCAAACAATGTTGGTTTGGCCTTAAGAGACTGCAACAAGTTGTATGCTGAGAGCGAGCCGCGGCTCAGTCGGTTGGTCTCCGGTGCGACGTCCCGATACACCGTTGATGATGCTCTCACATGGCTCGGCGCCGTACTCGCCAACCACAGAAGTTGCTTAGAAGGCTTGGCTGAGAAGGGTTTTGTGGAGGCTCAGTCTCATTTAGCAGCGCAAAACTTGACTACTTCCCTTGGAGAAGCTCTTGCTTTGTATAGCAAAATGAAGAGCACAAGCAAGGAAAAGATCCGTAAGTATAGCATATTATATATTGCTGGCTTTATTTTGTAGCAAATCTTACTAGATTAGTTTCAACATTCAACCTAATTAATTGCACCCCTCACTTTGTCTTTTGTTTATCATTGTCAATATATTTGTGTTAGGCTTCTTGTTACTGTTTTGTCCCCTGATGGTATTGTCTAATTAGATACATTTGTTGTGATGATTGCAGGGTAATTAGTTTAACGGTAAATTCATACTCTATCAAAACGGTTTTTCATTCAATTAAGATGGACATTAGAATTGTAAATCTTAAAAAAAATAGCAAGATTGATTAACAAACAATTCATTATAATAGACAAAACAGTTAAACTATTAATTCGACATAAGAACAAGAAGGATTTTTTCAATATGCACTATTTCCAATTGGCATATATATAATAATTTTACAAGAGGGAGAAAAAAATGAGTTCCATAATAAATAAATGTTTGGTTCTTTTTAAAAGTCCGCCACCTATAATGCAGGTTCCTCTGATTGATCATACAATTGCAAATTTGTTATCGATAGCCATCGTCGTTGGCTTAAAATCTTCCAGATCTGACACTTATGATCTGCATATTTGACAAGAGACTGTGTGAAAACACACAAAAAAGAAAAAACTTGTAATAGAAACGGAAATTGTAGTAATCAACAGTTAAGTAAATACCAGATTTTAAAACTATTTTAAGTAAATAACAATTTACGGTATAAATGTTTCATTTACGACAGGCCTAAAACATAATTTACGTGGCCAAAAAATCTTTATTCTCGTGGAAAAAAATCTTTTTATCAATCGTGCAAAGACATTTACATGTAAAAAAATTTATGAGGTAAACTATTATTTCCTTAAAATAATTTTAAAATCTGCTATTTACTTAATTTAATTTCATAAATTTGTTATTACTACATTCTCCTTAATAGAAAACCATACCTAGTGATCTGTATAATATATTAACTCATCACCCCTACATATTGAGATCTAATGGATAGATAATACTCAATATGCAAATAAAATAGATCAAAACAAAAGTTCTATGAGAGAGAGATACTTCCTTTCTCTCAGGTGGAAAAGATGAGTTTGAAACGAAAATGAGGGGAAAAAATAAGAAAAAGAATAGAGAAAAGCCCTAGGTATGTACGTAACATGATTTTTAGAACGTTTCCACCAACTCCACTCTAATGTTAAACGTTTAGAAGTTCAAAGTATAAAGTTTAAATTTGCACCCTTCAATTTTTTTCCTTTAAAAAACAAATAAAACAAAAATTTAATGGATTAATTTCAAAAATTCCCTCCGAATTATAACCCTGTAATATTTTTTGCCCCCAAATTTTAAAATGTAACATCCACTCTCGCTGAATTTTATTCTGTTAACAAGTTTTTCCCTTTTGTTACTTAATGAATAACGGAATTCGTCACGTGACAGACACATGATCCATCTGAAGAGGGTAATTCTGGACTAATTCTGAAACCACATTTCTTGCACATAAATTTTCTCCACTGTCAAGCCACTTTCACAATTTGAAAAAAAAAATTTATAATTTATAATTAAAATTATTAATTGGATGTGCACTTATCTATGTCACTCACAAGCATCAGGTGCACTCTACTTGTGATTGATAAGAAAGGTTTTTTTGTGCCTCTCTACACCATTGAAGAAAATGTAAAGCACTCTCCACAATCCTTCTGTTTTCATTGTGGATGCACCGGTTAGCCTCCTTTATGTTATTCTCTCTCTAATTTCTCTCTCTTTCTTTCTCGATTATCGCTCTATCTCTGAGAAACAAAAAAATCCAAATTTGAGAAACTAGATCTCCACCTACAACATCAATGGGGTTGGGTTGCCGAGGCCGGACAGAGAGTCGCGATGGGGTTGGAGAGAGAGAAGAGCAGGGTTGGGCACAATGGCGGTGTGTCGCATGAGGGCCAGGCTTGCCGGGGCTGGAGAAGGAGGAGCGCGGGTCGCGTGATGATGGTGGGTCACGGTGCGCGATGGATTTGGGTCACCGAGGCTGAAGAGGAAAGAGGCGCAGTGGGTCGGCGAGATGACGACGGCTGGGCTGCCGGATAGAGAAGAGGAGGAGAACAAGGAGCCTCTTGTTAGAAATTAGAAATTGGAAAAAATAGAAATTAGAAAGAAAGAAAGTCAGAGAGAGATAGATGAGAGAGAGAGGGGGAGAGAGGATTTTCTTTGTTTTTTTTATTATTTTTTTATATTTCAGAGGGTATAAGCGTAATTGAACTTTTAATTCTCACTAAATAAGTGACACGTGCAATTTCCGTCACTCATTGTAACAGAAGGGGAAAACTTGTTAACAGAATAAAGTTCGGGAGAGCGGATGTTACGTTTTAAAATTTGAGGACAAAGTGTTACAAATGTCATAATTCAGGAGGAATTTTTGAAATTAATCCAAATCTAATATATAGCTACTTCTTACTTGTCATACTTGACTTCTGAACTGAAATTGGTACCTAAAAAAAATGTTAATTTGTGGCAAGACTGATATTATTCTCTTCTCCAAGTTTAGAAGTATCAGAGGCACAAAAAACTGGTCCAAACACAAACGGAGGGCTTTTGGCTTCATGGAATCCGGCAACTTCGAAGGCTGACTTTGTGGTGGCAAAGGACGGCTCCGGCACTCATCGCACAATTAACGAGGCAGTGGCTGCCCTCGCCAGAATGGGGCGTGGAAGAGGCCAAAGAACAATAATCTATGTGAAAGCTGGGGTGTACAATGAGAAGGTGGAGATTGGTCGAAAGTTGAAGAATGTCATGTTTGTTGGTGATGGTATGGGTAGAACTATCGTCACCGGCAGCCGCAATGTGCCCGACGGCGCTACCACCATAAGCTCAGCCACATTTGGTAAGTTGATTTATTATTGATCGTAGTTCGAATTATCTGAATCATTTATTTGCTAAAAAAAATATTGTTATTTATTTAGAGAAGAATAATACCAAAGTACATTTTTTCGTTTATTGAAACTAGACTATGGTTTATCTAATGTATTAAGGAGTTTGATATTTCTAGACGCTAAATTGGTTCACATTTGTACTAACTTTTATATTATTTATTTTTTCTTATATCAACTTAACAGTAATTAACATAATGATTTTTTAAGTGTTTACCCATAAAAAATAGCAATTACCGATTATGCCAGCTAGTAATTGTTGAAAGTAATATTGTTCCTAACACTGTATCAGTGTATTATTAAGTGAACGCAAACTTATTTAATACTAATTGCTAAAAAGTAAAAACTTCCCAATCCGTTAAGATTAATCTCATTCCAATTCCTAATGTTTTTAACTTTTTTATATTTAAAGTGTTAATCTCATTCTTATAAGTCCCCTAATAAGGCCTTATATTATGTTGATCCATGACTTTTAAAAAAAAATCTATGAATGAATCAACAATATATCAAATTATTCTAAATTAATCCTTACGTTCATCCGACTATTAAAATCTTGACAAAAAAAACTCAATTTAAAACTTCCCAACCCTTTATTGCCCCTTTATGCCTTTGGCAGGTGTATCAGGCGATGGATTTTGGGCAAGGGACATGACATTTGAGAACACAGCCGGCCCTCAGAAGCACCAGGCGGTGGCGCTGCGGGTGAGCTCTGACCTATCGGTGTTCTACCGCTGCGGCATAATTGGCAACCAAGACACACTCTACGCCCACTCCCTCCGCCAATTCTACCGCGACTGCCACATCTACGGCACCGTAGACTTCATCTTCGGCGACGCCCCGGTCGTGATCCAAAACTGCGACATATTCGTAAGAAAACCAATGAGCCACCAAGGCAACATGATCACCGCTCAAGGGCGGGACAACCCTAACGAGAACACGGGGATTTCGATCCACGCGTCGCGCGTTAGGCCCGCGGCGGATCTTGTCCCGGTCAAGGGCGCCTTCAGGAGCTACTTGGGAAGGCCGTGGAAGAAGTACGCAAGGACGGTGTTTCTTAAGACGGACTTGGATGGGTTGATTGATCCCAAGGGGTGGAAAGAGGGGAGTGGCGATTTTGCCGTTTCAACTTTGTTTCATGTGCTCAATAGTGATCAACAAGCGAGCCCTTTTTCTGTGGGTAGTTTTATTCAAGGAGGGTCTTGGATTCCAGTCACTGGGGTCCCATTCTCTATTGGAATATGATTAGAAATATTGAATTAATTTGTGGAAACGATTATCTATAATAATAAGTTTTAAGTTTGTCACATGAAAATTAGTGCATGTTACTAATTATATGTGTAGTGATATAGCTTTTACTATGGCTTAATTAGTTGCTACACAATTACTTTGTAGTTTGGTTTTTCTCATTATTGTAGCACTGGCTTCTATAATTCTATTCTATGTAAAATGTGTGTTTTGTGGGAAATGGGTGTAGTTATATGGACTTATTTATATGGTGTGATAATTTTTCATAAGAAGTATCGAAACCTTTGATTGAAGAAATTACATTTCGACTCGAAATTTCAGAAACATGTCCCCCCAAAAAAAAAAAAAAATCAGAAACATGTTTGATCGAAGGAACTTGGTTTTTAGAATTTTATTCCTCCACTCTACTTTCAATCAATTTATTTATTTATTTTAAAAAAATCATAACTTAATTCAAATTAGAAAGTTTAAATTATTTAAATCAAAATCATAATGATCACTTCATATATATTGATAACTTCAATTCATAGCATTTATTTAAAAAAAAAAAAAAAAAAAAACAGAGAGAGAGAGAGAGAGAGAGAGATGAATCGTTATGAACGACAATAATTTAAACCGTGCCGATTATTTAAGGCAAAACAAGAATTAATCCCTAATTTGTGTGATTGGTAAAGCAAACGACAATTAGTTGGTAAAAATGACATGTCTTATTTTTTTTTTCAAAGTAATCCGATTATTTAAGGCAAAACAAGAATTAATCCCTAATCTATGTCGTTTGTTAAAATCAAAATTTTTATTGTTGATAAAGAAAAAAGAATGAGTTGTCATACCATAATTTTTTACAAGTAGAGGTTAGCTTTCGACATCGACAATGCCAAAACTAGGAGCTCAAGTTAGCTCTAACTCAGATCAGTTAAGCAATACTAATTAGGCTAATGAATACATCCCCCTCAGTTCAAATGCCCACCATTCAAACCTCTAGCTCAAGCTACGTAAGTTAAGCATGGGGTAAAACCTGAGCTAGGTGACCTGAGGTGGATAAACGACATGTTTAGTTTTTAAGTACATAAACGACATGCTTTATGTTGATAAAGAAAATGACAAATTAAGGTGATGTTTGGTAGAGGGATTCGTTCCCTGATTCGAATCATGATTCGTGGTTCGCTACAGTATTTTCTCTCATAAAAAATATACGTAAATCGAAAATAGTTCTAATCACATGGTTCTAATTTATGAACCAAACGAACTCTAACATTCATCCTACTTTAAAACGACGGTTATAGAAGCGCCGTCCTCATTGTTGAATGACGAACGACATATTGTGGTATTGAAACGAGATGACAATGATCCTGAACAACATGCCCTCTAATGTCATTTGGTTTCATTTTTTTTTTTTTTTTTTTTGAGGATAACCAATAATAAAAAAGAGACTGAAGGGTGAAAGAAGAGTTTATGATGTAAATATGGAATACGGACTATTATTTTATCTAAATAATAGAGTCACTTTTTGTTACCAAAATATGCTATGGAAATCGTAGTAAGTAGTATTTTTTTAAAAAAATTATTGCAACGAATAGTGCATTTGTTATTTCATAAAAAAAAATAGAAAATTTATTAGATAAATAATCTGTTTATTAGAATTAAATTAATAATTTATTTTATAAATTCATAATTTTCTGTTATTTATGTTAAATATTTTTAAAAGTTCTTCTTTATTTTAATTATTTACTGTTTCTTTTTTATATTATTTTATTGCATTAGTTATTATTTTTTTTATAAACTCTGATTTTTTCCATTTTAATTATTTGTTAATTTGTTGAATGTAAAAAACAAAAAACAAAGCAAAAAAGTCCACTGCATTTCCCTCAAACCCTAGCCGTAATCTTGTGTCTCAGTCGCGCCTTGGCCTGTCTAGTACTGAGGATCCAATCAAATACACCATTCAGGACCTCGCCTGATCATATATCAGAGGATTCTTCATCCTTCATCCTTGTGAGATTTTTTCTCAAAACTATATATAAAGCTGCAATTTTTGGTTCTCTCATGGCTATATATATATATATATACACACACACACACACACACACACACACACACTAATTGCTTCAATTCCTGAACTAAACAACACAGGTGCTTATATCAGAAAGAGGGCATTGAATTATCTGAGGAGAATCCATGGCTGGTGATTCAGATGTGGCTGAAGCATCTGCTTTGTCCTGTCTTCGTTGTGGCAAGCCTGCCCATCTTCAGTATGCTATTCTTACTTTTTTTTTTTGGCTCTCTTTTGATGGAATTTCATATTAATCCCAGTTTCGAACTTGGAAAGAATAGTATGAAGAGAAAAGTTGGAGTCTTTGGATTTCAGAATTAGAGGAAAGTTTGGGTCTTTTTTGTACAATAAATATATGTGTGGTCTCTCTTTCTTTTTTTTTTCTTTTTTTCTTTTTGGAGTATCCCTTTTCTGGGTATGGAATATGAGATATGTTCTTAAAAGGTGTAAATTGTAATATTGGATCATATGGGTCATTCATGACTTGTGACTCATAATTACATTCTCTTAGCGAAAGTGTTGCTGTATACACACAATGGTACTTTTTTAGCCTTTTTTTTAATGAATTTCACAAGTTACAAATTTGAATATTCACAAACCAGCCTTAATCTGCCATATTTCCTCGAATTGATCACTGGGTCGAATTTCTTTTGCTATTTGCAGGTGCCCCAAATGTATGGAATTGACGCTTCCTCGTGAAGGTGCTGCTTTCTGGTTTGTACTATGCTTTACCTTGATACTAGCATTAGTAAATGTGAATGCGCAATGTAAATTTTATAAATTATGCTTTTACCTTACTTGAGTGTGAGGTGATTTTGTGAATCTTAACAGCACTCAAGATTGTTTTAAAGCTGCTTGGAGCTCTCATAAATCGGTACATTTGAAGGCAAAGTTATCGGCGTCAGGGGCAGGTGCTCCTGGTGAAAAAAAAACAGACGGCGCTAATGAAGGTTGGCTATATTGCTTAAAAAAAGGACAAGCTCGAACCTCAAAACTTCCTTATTTTGATTGGACAGGGTATTTATCTAGTGTTTTTTCTGCCTTGCATTCCTATCGATTATATGAGAGACTTTATATTTGTTTAAGTTCCTTCTGGCCTGCATTATGAATTGATGGATTTTTATTAGATGTACTAGCCGCTCTTTCCATCTGTTATTTTGATCCTATTTGGCCTTTTGTTCTGATGTAGGCCTCTGAGGCCATATCCTATATCTGGCAAGCGAGCTGTACCGGCTCACATTGATGTACCTGATTGGGCAATTGATGTAAGTTGTTAAAATCATTTCCAATTGAATGCCAAATATCACCTTTTTTTTTTTTTTCCTTAAAACCCAGTTTGTTTTATGAATTTGAAATCGTTGATTGTTGAGAATTTTGAATATTTGATCACTTTATAGCCTGTCTTTGTCTGATTAATGCAAGTTTAGTGAACTGTTCGTACTGATTTCCATTCTTTCTTATTCTTATATGACTGCACCAGTTTTCTTTCCCCCACCTCTCCAATTATTTTCTCAATTGTCCTTTGGTAGTCTAGCATAGTTTTGCTAATACCGTTTTCCTTTTCTTAACGTTTAGGGAATCCCGAAAATTGAGCCTAACAGTGATCTGCAGCATGTTGTTGAGGTAAGCTTCTGCGTGAAAACCTTTCAAGTCAGACTTCAATTTCTACTTATGTGTAATATAGTTAACCTTTGTGGTTTCAGTTTTCATTTTCTTGTCTATTTCCTAGTTCATTTTGTTTTCGGAACTTCATTGAAGTTGTACTTGTATTTACTTTGAAGATCAAAACTCCAGATCAAATTGAGAGAATGCGAGAAACCTGTCGAGTAAGCTCCAACTTTACTTTTCATTTATTTTGGTCTTGGGAAGAATTTAAGCTGCATAATTTTTTGTGTTGAAAATCTTGCTAATTGTCTCACAATTGATTTCCTAATCTCCTTGCATAATTAGGAATGTGCAAATAAAGAAGATATGATACGAAATAGAAAGAATGTGTATGGAATTTTTGCTTTCTACCAAAATTGTTGATTTCTAAAGGCTTGTAACTTTCTTATCTTCTCATTATTAGATTGGAAGGGAGGTTTTGGATGCAGCTGCTAGAATAATACGACCTGGTATCACAACCGATGAAATTGATAGAGTGGTTCATGAGGCAACTATTGCTGCTGGTATAACATAGGTTTTTTTTTTGTAATGGAGGATATCATTGGTGTACTATTGGCCTAACGGTCCATGATTGGCATAACATTTTTTTTTTAATTTTGCTTTTTTCTTACCTCACTGCAGGAGGGTATCCATCTCCTCTCAACTACCATTTCTTCCCAAAGTCTTGCTGCACGTAGGTACTCTTTTTTATGTGCATTCCCAGTTATTTTGTTGGCTTGAGTGTTACTGAACAAGTAAATGCACTTGCATTCCATTTTTGTTGCAGGTCAGTTAATGAAGTAATTTGCCATGGAATACCTGATGCCAGGTTTTTGTTTCTACTCATTGAACTATTTGTGCTCTCGGCCTTTCCATTTCTTTTTTCATTCCTTCTTACCTCTCCCACTTCTCCCTCCCTTTGTTTCACCATGCAACAAATCCTTATTTTATCACAAATTTACAGCTCATGATTTGTAACAAATATCTAGATCTGTTTTTGTTTGTAACACATCTTATCGAAGTCTCTTAGTGTTTAGTATTTTTAACAGCTCTCAATGTTTGCTGTGAGCTTGAGTGAGAGTACTTGATATATATTTCACAATTGCTTGCTTCAGAAAGTTGGAGGATGGCGACCTTGTAAATGTGGACGTGACAGTGTATTATAAAGGTGTACATGGTAAGAGGACTTTTCTCATTAGCTATCTAGATTCATGCCTTCAAAAAGTTTATAATTCCTTTTTTTTTTCCCTTGATTAATCCAAATCTTGCCCGATGAGTACTGACCCGGCTATTGTTTGACTCATAATACAGGTGATCTAAATGAAACCTTCTTTGTGGGAAATGTTGATGAAGAGTATAAACGACTAGTTCAATGTACCTACGAATGTTTGGAAAAGGCAATAGCTATTGGTACGTGTATTGGACAAACAATTATTTGATTTTTCAACTTTAAGAAATCTCTCTCGTCGGAGTTAATCAGGATATATTCTTCTACGGAGATTTCTAATATGCTGAATGGTTTAAGAACTTGATTTAAAATTGTTTTTGAAATCTTGTTTATTGATAAACACAGTGAAACCTGGGATGAGATTTCGTGAAGTTGGTGAAGTCATCAATCGCCACGCTTCTATGTCGGGGTTCTCTGTGGTAATTAGCAATTTCAGTGCGATTATACCCCAAATTTGCGTTCATGCACTGACAGAGTTTGAATAACAACTTTTACATTTATGTCATGTACCTTAGGTAAAATCGTATTGCGGTCATGGTATTGGAGAACTGTTTCATTGTGCGCCAAATATTCCTCACTACAGCAGTATCCTCAACAAAGTTGGAAGTTGAATCTCGACTTTGTTCTCGTTTTTGGTTTCTTTGGCTAAAGCAAACATCGTAATTCTGTGTTTGTGCGTGTGATTATATTCTATTCTAGCTCTTTGCATTGCTTGCCTTAACCCAAGCAGGAAATAAAGCAGTCGGTGTTATGAAGGCTGGACAGACCTTTACGATTGAACCAATGATCAACGCAGGTACATTTTTGCAATTGATCAAGTTATGAGCTTAACAATTCGAATGCCTTATGAACTTTCTCGATAGGAGTTTGGCGTGATCGGATGTGGCCCGACGGATGGACTGTAGTTACCGCCAATGGAAAGCGCAGTGCTGAGTTTGAGCACACTCTCTTGGTAAGCTAGTACCTGTTTTAAAAGTTATTTTATCAACGAGTGATGCACTTGCATTCAACTTGATTTATCTGGTTATTATATCTCTCCTGAATAACCCCATTTCATGAAATCACGAGCATTGCCGTATCGCGCAGGTTACCGAGACAGGAGTGGAGGTTCTTACAGCAAGGTTGCCTTCCTCCCCAAATGTGTTCCCTTGGCTAAATGCCTAGTTGCAATGCTGCTTCGTTTTTGTGAAAATTTGCAGGGCAAGAGATGTAAGGTAGCCCATTCAGACAACTACACATAACAGATAAAAGTTCATGCATGTGACTACATGCTTCTATTGTTGCTGTTTTGTGGATGAGAATGTCATTGTAACCTATTTTTAGACAAGTTTCATTCAATTTTAGTTTTAAGCTACAACTGTTGCTAGAGGCTGTTATTCATGTGTTCCTTGGAATAATTTTGTAATAGTGCCGAATTTATCGAATAAAAGTATCAGATTTCTTTCGTATCAAATAACCTGAGAAGTCATAAAGCAGTATGAACGATGCAGAGATTCTTCTATTTTCCATACTTTCATTTAACTTGAATAAATCAACAAATGGACATTGATTGGGATTCTTGTTGGCGGTCATCCTTTTGTCTTCACTCATTACACGGTTTCTTCCATCATTTTCAATAATTCCATCTACATTGTACTCAAAAAAGCCACACGCACATATCCGGTTGCAAACAAACTCGGATTTGTTGTCAGATCTCAACTCACAAGTACTTTTTAAGGAGATATCAAAGGGACAATTGAACCAGATAGGGGAACAGGGCTTTGTATTAAGCGACTAGAATCCTGAGGACTCTACTAATGAGGAATATGATGCATTTTCATCCGTAGCTGCTGGCTTCATCTCCTTAGTCGTTTTCAATCCGCTGCTCGTCTTCCTATGAAGCTCTACTTCCAGACCAACCATATCATACAATTCTAACTTTTGTAGCCTTGAGGCTTCCACATCACCATCCCAGCACGTTTCTGAAATAATCTCAAGAGCCTTCTCAATCTTGTTTTCATCCACAAGATTCCCATTTTGCAGAAGCATGAGGTAGACTTGTTCAGCGGAAGCTTTTCTTATCTGGGTTGAAAGGAAAAATAATTGTTGAGATAAGAAATATGTTTTTCAGCCCCATCGGGCTGCTGCACCACCAGACACAAACTGGTGGGGCCCACATGGGTCACACGGATGGAACCCACCGGTTTCTGTTTGGTGGGGCGGCAGCCCGACAGTGGTGAACAAGAGTGCTGCAAGAATAAATATGTATAAAAAAAAGGCATAGCTTAGCGACTTTAGTGATATTATAAACCGGCGGGTTTTCAGAGTAATAGAATGGTGGAGGTGAAATACTTGGGCATACAAACCTTGGGATATCGATGACCTAAGAATCTTAGAAGATGAGAGAAAGCCCGAGTATTTATCTGGCTGTCCAAAGTGGAAGCGATATATCCAAGTATTGCAATGCCTGCGTATAACTTAGAGAAGTCCTTTGAAACCTTTAATTCAACTGCCAGAGAATCCAATACACCAGCACAAAATACTGTAGTATGATCCTGTAAAATGAAAGTGAGATCCAGATAAGTTTTCTTATCTTCAATCAATTACCTGCAATAAAGATGAAAGACTAGCACAACATTACATGTACAGGTACCCAAAAAAAATAAACTAACCTCCATATTCAGAAATATCTTGTTACTGAAGAGAATCTCAATGGTCTGCAATACAGAAGAAATCTCATCAAAATCCACACGTTTTCACAAGCAAATGCATCTTAGAAAGATTTTACGTGAATTATTTACCTTCAATGTAGGTACGACGACTCTGTCGCATCTTCTGTACTGCTGGAGGACCCAAAGCATGTCGGTTGATAGCACTCGTTCTCTGGACTTTCGTTCATCCTGGTTTTCAACGTCACCAGCTTGAAGATAGTCCAACAATGCTGAGAGTGATGCCTTCCTCAAAGACTCTTGCAGGCCACCAATAGAGATAACTAGGCCAGATAGCACTGATCTGCCATAACAACTGAACTGAAGCAATTGGACAAAACGTGGATATGAAAAGGTGGGTACCTGCAAGCAAGTAAAAAAAAAAAATGACCTTTCCATTTATTCAAGGAATGTCAGTTTCTTGTTAAAAATACTATAAATGAAATGACCTATGTATGCTCACCGCCCATTTTAAGTCTGTTTCTTTAGGAACAATTTGTTCAAGCTCTTTTCTGTAAGGTATATATGGGATATAAACCATCTTGCAATACAACATCCTCTGGAGAACCTTGGCAGCTGCTTCTCTTAGTTTGTCCATCTTCTCTACAGCTTGCTTGCATATTCCCCCAACTATACTTGTAGCAAGGTTTTCATCAAAAACTGAAGATAGCTGATTATTTTCAACTACACCGCTGTCGATCAGCTCAGGAACTCTTTTACAGAGGATATAAGTGCATCTCTCGAGGCCATCCATGGCAACCTCACGAACCCAAGAACCCACATCACCTCTGTTATCGACAGAATAGTCATCAAGTGATCCTAATAAACTCGCCATCACTTCATTCTTGATCAGCAGTATTAATTCAGTGCCATTCACGTCAATTCTATTATCTTTCTCTTGAGTTAATACTTCACATACAGAAACAAGTCCTTTAACAGCATTTACTCGAGCTTCAGCATCTCTATCATCAGGCTTCTCCTGCAAACAGAAAATATCCAGTTTGGACACTCAATCACCTTAAAAAGGAAAACTGTTTGTTATTTTGTTATCTAATTTTCTGCCGCACCTCAATTGCGCAACAGCTAGAGAGCTTCATGAGCACATCCTTCCACCTCCTCGCCAAAAGTTCATATGGCAAAACACCTATCGCCAAAGCCGATCCTCTTCTTACAGCCACATTTTGGTCAGTCAACAATTCCAAGTACTTGGACGTTATATCATTGGGACCTTTTATATCTGGAGCAACTAGGTATGCTGAAACAAAGTGTTTTAAAGCTTTAACAGCAGCATCCTATACATTGCATTTGAAAAAGAAAACATTAGTAAATTTGTTTTAAAATAAGTAAACAAAACATAAAAACTCAAATCAATTAACAGCACCTGAATCTGAGAATTAGGGTGTCTCAAATTCTCGTTTAGTGTGTCAAGCAAACCTCGCTTGATCTTTTCTGTTAATGACAAACAAGTAAAAGATATACATTCAATGAATCTTGAAACAGCTGAACGCATTATCTCTCCACCCTTTCCACGATATAGGCGTGCTTTCTCAATAGCAGGAACAACACCAGCAACACGTTTCTGTTTATCTGAAAAAAACAGGTCGAATAAAATTGTAATTCTTAACTTGGTTTGTGTATGACGTGGACCACAATCTCGAAGCAGACAAGAACATTCTCTATCGGCAGTTGTCAATTTAACAAGATAAACTAATATATTATCTTTTCTATTAATTGCAAGAATTCGTATTCTGGTGGAGTTCATTGTTTTAAAATATTTCTTTATTTTCTTCCTAATTCACATGACGATTGGACCTGAACAAAGTGAACACCTTTATTAGTTCACAACCAGTTTGAAGAAGCAAGAGAGCTGACATTTATCACAAAGAGAGAGAGAGAAGCGAGGGTGCTAACCAGAGGAAAGAGCATAACCACAATGATGCAGTGCTAAAACAAGTTCCCCGATGGCCAACGTCGCCCCATGGCGCATGCACAAGTCGGTTGAGAGAGTGCAAGGAATTAGTTTTTCCAAAACTGAGTCTGCACAATACGCAGGATCATACTTGACAAGAGCAGAAAGGGCCTCTGCAGCAAGCTCTCTCAAGCCTTTGTCCTGATGAGATCAAGTAACATGGTTAGATTTTCTGGAAAACTAGAAATATCAGATATTTCAGAAGAGGTATAAAACCATGTTGGTCATTTGACAAGATTAGCCACTATGCAAAAACTAAACTAAACGAAGAAATAAATGACATTGTAGTTGGTGCCTACCCAATGACAAATCTTGTTCTGTAGAAGCTTATCCACAAATGGATGAAGATAACCCTCAAATTGAGCAATAAAGACAGCAACATGAATGTAGGAGTTTACTCGAGAAGAAAGTGAAAAATAATCTGCAGTATTTACAATGTCAATGCCATGTGGGTAATTCCCCTGTCGTCCAACGTTCTCCTGGAAAGCAGCTGCTGCAGCCCTTCTACAGTTCACCTAGCATCATATTTCAAAAATTTCAGCAATGTGATACCTAAGTAGCCACTAAAAATCATTGTAATAATAAAAACTTTGGCACCTCGCGATCATAGCAGGCCACTGTTAAAAGATGTGGAGCGAGCTGGTCCAGTATGTTCCTCATATCTGAATGATAATATGCCCGGCCAAAAGCCCAACAAACATATGCTGCAGCATCACGTACATGGGAACCAACACTATGCGGACCCCTTCGTATGTCATAATGCAGTGCCTGTTTTAAAGATTTAGTCTTTCATCAGTGCTTATATACCTATCCATTACATTATAATGCTTAACCCTAATGAGACCGAAAGAAAAGAAGATAGGCATCTGATCATAATATAAAAGTAGACATTTCTGTATGAAAAATAAATTACTTACTGTGCTCAACTTAAAATTGAAACAATTTTTACATAGTTCAACATAAACTAAAAACAACATAGTATTCTAGATTTGTAAATTGGTACATAGCGAATTAATATTCCTTCATACAACCTTCACAACAACAGGTACAACTCTAGGGAGACTGACAGGTAAAAGCAATCCCCTGCGTGCCAATTCAGCCAACGCTAAGCAACCTCCGTGCCACGAACCATCACCCTGGAAATTAATGATCCAAGGAATGAAAACAACTTCATGATTATGAGCAATATTTAACTACACATCAACTTCAATCTTTTCTAATATAATAAAATGTAAAAAATAAAAATAAAACCTTCAATCTTTTCTAGCATGTGCATTATTAGCGATTTGGTGGAAAGAGTTTGTAGAAACATATAAGACAAAGTAGCCATATAAACATGTTATTGTACCTCGCCAGGTGAAAAAAGTTCCAAGACAGATGACAAGACCTCTTCTGAAAGGGCAGATGTAAGACGTGAAGTAATACGGCCTATACCTTTTGCAGCAGACCAACGCACAACTGTGTGCTGCATTACATTAGCAACAATTGCTCAGAGATTAAAAATGAATGTGCTTAAGTAAGCAAATTTTCAAAAAAGTTTCGATCTAGGAACTCATTAAGATCAAATAAATTGTCAATAATTAGTATTACTTTAAAAAAAAATGAGCATAGTGTCAATAAAACGATTTCACCAAGGGAGATATATACTTTCAAGATCTTTCCCAATAAACATACCGCATCTCTCAAACCAGCCAGTAACGTTTCAATGATCTCTTCCACAATTTCAGGAACATCCATGTCTTCGTCTTCCATGGAGCTTGATGTTATGTCAGGGTTGCAACCATCATTATTCACGCAAGAATTGCACTTGTCAATTTCCTTGGATGCATGTAAAGAAACATTTTCTCCCAGCGAGCTGGTTTTGCTCTAGATTAAAGCACATGAAAAACGCTTAAATGATGTCACCAAAGTTCTTCATGGAACATACCAATCTAACAAATGCCAAATGTTGCCAAGGAAAATCATTGCAGATAAACATTGAGAAAAGAAAAGGCTCGCAACTAAGCTACAAAACCATTATCTGACCACATAACGCCATGAAGGCAAACGATGAGGGAGGCAAGTGAACCCGATCCGCTGAGTTAACTTCATCAGATATTTGCGAAGCAAAGGACTCAGAGCTGCATTACTTGACTTGGTCAACAATGAGGTGTCGTCCCAAACTTTAGGAACCACATCAACCAAGAGTTTCCGTCCGCCACCCTGTCTATTATAGATAATACATAAGAGATATGAATTCTGAGAAATCAAGGGCATTTTACCAAATGGCAACTATTTTTTACATAATAAAAAAGAGCCTTTTTGGGGACCAAGTTCGTTACATCCTTAAGTATTTCTCCACAAAAACTCTAAAAGAGAGATGTACATACGCTGACATACAAGAATATTCACGATCCTTTAACAGAGGAAAAAAGAAATCCCTTACTAAATCTGTACTTCTGCCCCACCAAAAAACTCGTACCTTGAAAATTGCCACAAGTGCGTCAACAGCCCCGAGAAACTGGAAGTGATTCGTGGCATCTTCTGTTACAGAAGATAGAATTTCATGTGTCCAATCAACAAAGCTGAAGAAGAAATCATAACAGACAATGGGTAAGCATAATCAGTCTGAAAAACAACATGACATTATACTATTGATACAATGAAACATTAGAGAGACTTTAATTCTTTCCAATAACATACATGGACGTTTGAAATGTGTTAGCCCATAAGCAAGATACAATAATTGCTTAGATTCAAAGGGAAAATCAGTATTATCAGCTAGCACTTAACATGACAATGAATCTAAGCAGTTTTCAATAATCTTAAGACAAATATGCATAATAATAGAAACCTTGAAAAGGCCTTTGGCATATCTGGACGTGTCAGAAGCTTTGAAAGAAGCAAAGCAGCTATAGGTCGCATAGGGCCCGCACTTGACAGATAATCCTTTGAAAACCCGATTATCTTCAAAACCAAAGGAGCCGGTTCGTGTTCACCAAGACCAGTGTTGCTTGCAATGCTAGTATCAACTGTGGAGATATCAAATGGAACCAATACAAGTATAGAAAGCCACAAAAGGATCACACATTTAGCCTCCATCTCTCCCGTACTTTCCTGCCTCAGAGACGTCTCAGAATTTGTGGAATGACACTTCTCCAAGAGGGAGACCGCGAGCTCCAAGTCCGGAACTTGATGGGGAAAAAACCTGATCACGGCTTTGTACCCACAAACCATGACCAGAGAGTAAATGATGATGCATATTGGCTTGATTACTTCAAGAATTTCATCAGAAGCTACGCCTAGTTCGATCGTTTTGGAACGGACAATGAACATCAGTGGAGAAACTATGCTCTCCAAGTAAGGCTCTAGAAGTTGACCCTGTTCTTGATACTTGTCCATCTACACATAAACAATAAATGTTGTAACGATATTGCAAACCCTTAAGAAAAAGGGTTAAAATTAGCGGTACTTCTTGAATTTTTGGGTCATTACCGGTTTGCACCCTGACCTGCATTTTGAATTAATCTCACTTAGCCTATTTGTTAGAATTTTTATTAAAATCAGACAAGGGGTTAAGTGTGGTTGAGGGGATGTTTATTTTCTGTATTCGTCCATGATTCTAAATCATGATTCATAGTTTTCTACAGTATTTTTCTCTCACAAAAAATACACTTAAAATGAGAATGATTTTTAATCATATTTCTAAATCCATGAACTAAACGTCCATGTCCTCGAAGTTCAGGATACCAATGAGAATAATTAAAAAAAAAAAAACAAATCTTCACTGTTTAAGCCGTTTCATAGCTCCTATTATCATGATAAAGCATTTTCTAGATCTTCTTCTTTTTTTATTTCTCGAAATGGATCTAATCACAAATTTCTCAACTTTATCCCGACTAAGCAACAGCTAAAAAGAAACCACAGAAATTAAGGCGTAAGAATCGAAATCAAGCAAATTCAATAAAAATTTAATCCAATTGAGCGTAAAGTAACTAAATACAAATCTTAGCACTTGGAACAAGATAAGAACAGTCGATCGAGAGAGAAAGAGAAAGAGAAAGAGAAAGAGAAAGAGTACAATGGATCGGATCTTATGGGGAATGGAGGGATCGGAGACGCGACCGTGAGAAACGATGTCGTTTAAAAGGGACTTGACGAGCACCCACTCTTGAAGGAAGTACTTCTCGAGAACCTTCTCCTTGGAACCGTGTTCGTCGTCCTCCTCGTCCCATTCCTCCTGTTGCCTTGGGGTCTCTTCCGCGCCCGCCGCCATTTTTCCGAGCAAGTAAGTTCCTCAGAAGAGAGAGAAAGAAAGAAGCTTGTAGAGAGAGAGCTCTTCCAATTCCCGCCTCCGTTACAGACAACTTTGTGAAATGTGAATTTGGCAGTGTGTTTTGTCAGTGGAGCTTTTCCTTTTTTTTTCCCCCCTTACGAAATGACCATTCCTCATGTCAGACGACATGCCGTTTTGATTTCAGCACGATGTGGGCCCTTTAGGAGAGGTAAGAAAAAGCGGAAAACAATCTATTTCCGTTGCCGGGAATTGAACCCGGGTCTTTCGGGTGAGAGCCGAATATCCTAACCGACTAGACTACAACGGATTGTTGAGAAAGAACGGGATCAAAATTGTCAAAACAAAAAACTAAAAGAGAGGAAACTTTTATTCAAGTTCTAACTTCAACTCAAGTTATAACTCAAATTTAACTCAAAAATTACATTCAAGTTACACTCCAAAAGAATAACCCCTGAATTGTTAAAAGTTTGCGAGTATCATTAGTGAAAAAGAACAATTATTTAACTCTACTTTCAAGCTATAAGCCAAACTCAGCACGACTATATGACTTTGTTTAGTTTGTACAAGTCATATAAATTATTTCTATAAAACAAATTGGATAAATAAATATATTATTTAACTCTCACGAATTCAGCATCGTCACGGGCAATAAAATTGAAATTGGCTTGGGCAAAGTTTAAGTTAGATGACCATTGATAATAGTGAAGATGTTGAGATTTTCTAGAAATATTCAAGTATCCCACAAGAACAAATGAAGACATTATCAAAGAATCAATATACATGCTACGTGATTCGGATCAAGTGTTCTTACATCCGCGTGTTTGTGTGAATTTTCAAATATCAATTCTTGGTGGTCGGATCTCTTTCTTTGTCGTCTTTCTCTCACTCCTCAACTAGTGGGCCTTGGGAATTATCCTATAAAAGATACTCTAACGCTCAAGTTAGACAAGTATTTTAGAATGGACTAGAACGAAAGAATTAAGATAAAAAAAGGATTCAATAGAGCAGTGTCTCTTCCAATTTTCTAGGGATCGGACACTTCATTATTCTCATCATTTTCTATTTATACGATGCTTGTCATGATCAGATGAATATTCTTGATCCATCTTAATCATGACATGTCGTCATCCATTTTCGTTTAGGGTTTCTCCAAGGATATCCCATCTTTAGAATATCCTCGGAGGTTTCCCACCTTGGGAAAGATCGCTTTCCATTATGTTATTCACTTTTACGTGTGTCGCGCCCGATTAGATGCATTTATTGGGGGATAGTAGAGTTAGATGTATTTATCGAGGGATAGTGAAGCGTGTGTTACTGTATGAAGATTTTCCTTCTGAAACAAGTCATCTCCATTATCTTTTTTATCTCGGTCTATCTCAATCTCATAGTGTTGGAGTTCTTTATCGACCTCGGTCTCAATCTTGATCTCGATCTATTTACCTTGATCGAGGTCGCGTTCTCTCTCGATCAAAATAGGTTTCGGTCTGAGGTTCAGTCAATATGTTTGATTTGGGTCTCGGTTTCTCACCTTCTGATTGTTCCGTGACATGTATCGTGATCTCAGGGGTCCTCGGGAAAATCCCCCAACACCGTGGGCAAGCAAGAGTAAAATCTCCACGAGTCAAGAAGCTTCAGATGTTTCAAGTTCTCGAACCCTTCCTTTTAACAAAGAAGCCGAGTCTCTCTCACAATCTCTTTAGCAACTCACTCTTCAAGGTTTCTCACTTTCAAGAAGACAACAAGATTAGTTCTAAATCTGATTGTAATTAATCACTAACTATTCTCTCAAGCCCTCAATTCCATATTCATACATATATGATATTATTGGCTTTACAAGAAAATAATTGACTGCCAGAATAAGTAACTTCAATCTCTTGAGATCTACGTGTACCAAGGGGATTGGCTGTCAAAGAGATTTAATTAACTTGACAGATTAGCATCTCCTAACTGGCATATATTGATTGCTTTGAGGTGATTTTCCCGAATTAATTGTGAAATATCAACAATCTACGCATGTGTTGGAGTGGATTTCTCAACATCAACTAGAATCGTTTGAATCCATGTCAAAAGTTAGTTATGGAATATTCGAAATTTTCCATATCAGAAATGATAAAGAAAATTATGTGATATTTCTTCTAGAACATCAACACATGCCATGTTTTGAATGGGGGTTGCTCGAGGTCAGACTTCAAGTCGTCAACTTACACTAGGTTAGGTCTCGAAATTATAAGGACTTGTTCTTTTAGAGTAAAACTCAAAAAAAATTTAAATTCAAATTACAACTTTATTTAAATTTATGTTTGTAAAATTTAAGTTTAAACGTTTTAACTCGAGTTTTAACTTGAATTTGATGCTAAAATCTGAGTTCAAGTTACTCAAACTCAAGTTAATGAACAATATTTTTTTCTATTCTTAAAAATGTCATAAGTTTTTCGTTTTAATTCCGATTGAGATGATTTTTTTCTATGCGTTCACAACGAAAAGATGAATAAAACCTCACTCCTATACCCTATTAAATTTTTTCATCACTATTGAGTTTTTATTAAAATATTATCTAAATACAAATTCAAGTTTTGACCCACTCAAATACAAACTCAAATAGATTCTCAATTCAAATCATAACAAATGTGCACATCCAAACACAAATTCAAGTTACAACTTTAACTCAAATTATAACTTAAATTTAACTCAAAATCAACACTCAAGTTACCATAACTCAAAAATGCAACCCAACAAACCTTAACTTACACGAGGTCGGGCCTCAAATTTGCTTAAGGTTGGGTCATAAATTGATGATTAACTCGAAGTCTGGCCTCAAATCTTTCGATCTCAATCTTCTCATTTGTTTGAGGTCAACCACCAAGATATATTCCAGTAATATAATCTCGATCGATGGTATTCCTTAAACTCAATCTCGATTTTGCTAGAGTCTTCCGGTAGTTTTGTTGTTCGACCATTAGGGACTCAGCAAGTACTAAAAGGACAACTGTCGTGCTCTCAATCTCAAGGGAAAATCCCCAAGAGTACGTGTTCAAATTAAGGTAGAAAGAAGGTTACAATTAAAGATGTATTAATTGGAGATTCAAATCTTCCGTCCAATTTTAGTATTTTAATTGGTGTCTAATTAATCACATCATATCATGTGTTAAAAATTTTAATTGTTTAATAATTAATTATTTTGTACTTATTATGAGATGATGTGGTATGATATGATTAATTAGACACTAATTATGGCACCAAAATTAAAAAGAATATCTGGATCCATATTGGACCTTTACTTCCTTACTACAAAAGTTGAAATAGAAACACGCTGAGACATTTTAAGCTTTGTCACTTTTCTGGTGAAAAACTTGTCCCTCTGAATGTTACAGATCAAATTAAACTAACTGAAGATCTTATATATTCCCGTCTGCTCCCACTAATTTTGCTTTATTAGTGCCTCTTGACTAGGCTGCAACCATGTGACCTCATATAGCAAAATATATAGTAAACTACGCGTCTACCATGCACAAATATCCAATGGTTAGACTCAAACATGCATCAAAATTCAAACCTCATTGAAAATTTCTTCATCCTTATCTCGTATACGACGTAGGATATATACTCGTAGTTGCAAACATAGTCTAGCGCATACATGACTCTATTATATATAATCCGACCCTGAATTTAAATAAATAAAAAAAATAAAAAAATAAAAAAGACAACGTTAATTGACATATACTGTGTACAGAGATGACAAATAAAAATTTGTGTTCACATGTATACAACTCTACGGCACATATCTTTACAAAGAAACAACAAACACTTATCCGAGAACATTTAATCAACACCTTTCTACGGCTTCGTGGCGGCAGCAGTGGCGCCTCGGTACCGGGCGGCGTAGCGGTGAAACAAGGCCAAGGCGTTGCTAGTGAGCTCAGCCACGTTCTGGACCTTCCCCTTAACCGTGGCCTTCAACTTGCTCATTCTACGCCCAGGAAACGCGTCCACGCAATTGCTGGCGTCGGTCAAAGCAGAGCTGACCCACGCCTCCACATTGCTTATGTGCCAATAGATCGTGTCATGATCACCCTTGGTCTCGTGTCCCAATCGGCGCAATTCTTTGATGGACATGCTCAGTTGTTCAACGCTTAAATTTATCTGATCCAAGCAGTCTTTGACGGCTAAGTACTCCTCCGCCTTCATGGCCTTGAGCTCTTTAGCTACTTTGACGAGAAAAGCCCGTGTGTAGCGGGCCCGGTAGAGGCTTATTGACAAGGCGTATTCGGCCAGATCTTTTGAGCTATGTATGGTCGCGTTGGCCCGGTCGACGTAGCCAGAGAGACACCTTAGGCAGAGGTCCGGGTACCGGGTGTCCCTGCACGCGGCCTCGATGTAGGCCCGGGCCCGGGAGCGCCCGTGGAAGGTATGGTTGGCTTTGGTTGCAGAAGTAGTGTAGAAGATGGATAGGAAGATTAGGAGCAAGGGAAGTCTAAGGTCAGCCATGAAATGTTGTTGTTTGTTATAAAGCTTTGGAGGATTAGAGAATGTAAAAATTGATGACTTTTGAGGTGTCAAGGAGATATAAATAGAGAAGCTTTCACATGCTTACCTAAACGTGCGCTCTACGTGCATCAAGCTCAAATAATCATATTTTGGACTAAATAGAATGAAGAGGATTTTTAATTGTTTTTTAAAAGTTGGACCAAATCACGTTAATCTACACCAAGTTTTTCATTCCATTACTTTGCTTTGTTTTGAGGCATGTTGGAATCCTAGTTATTAAGGAAATGCTTCGCTGTACTTGGTCTTTGATTATGCTTAGATGCTCACCAACATTTTTAGGTCTTGACGGAAAAGGGCACGTGTATTACAATAATACTTTTAAATCAAATAATGAACTTGCAAGTCTTTTTATTGCATAAAAAGAGATGATATATTAAATTGGTAGTGAAATGACTTAGTTCTGACAAAAATGATTTGCTCGTGGGATCATATCAACTCTTTTTTTTTTTTTTTTTGGTTATTATCAACTTGGAAGCAAATAGTGACGACAATCAAGGGTTACTATTATCTTAATAATTGCCTGAAATAAACATTGCTTAGCTTGCATAATCCTTAGAGCTATGGTTTTGAGATTCTAGGACCAAGTGTTAAAAAAGTTTCAAGGATGCATATCACACATTTGCATTGCAAGTGGTACATAGCCAGGATCATGTTTAAGATTGAGTGTCGTTTCAGCCGGAAAAAAAAAATAAAAAACAAAAAACAAAAAATAAAAAACTAGACTCCCCCCTTAAACAAAATCCTTTTTTTTTTTTTTTTTTTGTTATTTATTTTAAAGGGGTTTGTAGAACTCACTCTTCTTGGGTTAAAAGGTTTACTCTGATTGAAACTTGAGTAAAGACCTACTTTATATGAAGCTTTCAAACTTGAAAGTATACATCACAACAACATGCATAAACTCTTTTTCTGGCGCAAAGGCACATAATAGATAGAAAACTAGATAAGAGAGACTTAAGGAGATTAATCAATCGTTCAAAACCCCACAAACAGGAATAATCAACAAGAACAGCTGCATCATGTTACATAAAAAAGAACAATACACTAATAGAGACACACCAAGTACTGATTTGGGTTTTCTTTACACAGGCTGGGAAGTTATTCAGCAACCTTCATTCCCGAGAGATATACTCTACTCTGAATCACACTGCCCCCAATCCAAAATCCAGGCATGACCATGAGTCCGACCTTCGGTTTTTGTTCAGTTTCGTCTGTTATCAAATTCTTCACAACACTTTCCATGTAAACCTCTGAAAACTCGCTCCCTCCCTTAACCTGGAAGACCTTGACACTGGGATCAAAAGAATAAGCCAGCCTGTGCAAAAGCCAGACTGCCTTGGCCAGTTTCAGAAACGCCTGGTAAAAGGGAGTCCGTGGATGCCCGCCACCCATCACATAGTTCCTTTGATCCAAATTTCCAAAAAAAGAAGCCTCCATTTTCTGGTGCACCACAACCAGGTATTTGCTCCGGCAAAACTTCCCAAAAATCGAATCTGGGTTTTGACCAAGCATGTCGAGTGGATCCATCTCCCTCAATGCAAGAAATTGATTGAAGAAGCTCTCCTTCGTGACCACGAGGTCATCTGCTTTTATGCCAAAGCTTTCCTGCTGAAACCCACTGAACATTTGCTGGCAGATATTGGATTCAAAGGCATATTTCTTGTGAGCTCTTTTTGCATAAACAACATTAGGTTCAATTGAGTTAGCTGCGGCATCAAGGTCCCACCCAGCGGCTTTCATCATGTTGATCAATGGTTTAGAAAAATCATGAATAGCTTTGAAGGTAGCTTCTACAGAGGAGGTGAAAAGCTCAGGAGTTAGATCCAAGTGGAAAAATCCATTTTCATTAGCGGAACCTTCTGACTCTTTTGTCAACAACCCCCTAAACTTTAGATTCTTCTCCAGCTTTGCTCGCTTTTGATTCGCCTCCTCAATTTGCCGTTGCAACTGAAGGATCTCGGAATCCTTATTCTGAATTTCAGACTGGAACTTCTTGACCATAACCTCATAAGTCTTCAGCAGACTCTGTTGTTCCTGGATCTCAGCAGCCAAGCGAGAATCCTGTGGCGAAACACACACCGGTTTGGGATTGTTCTCTCTGTAAAAGTGCTTTAGTTCAGAAAGGTTCTTCAGCTCAGAAATAACGAGTTTATCGGCTGCTTGGATTTTGTCAGGGTCATAGGGAGTATGAGCTGCTTGAAGCTCAATGTAAGCTGACTTAAGGGAGGAAATGTTTGTAAAAATCTTTGATATCAGCGCTTCCACGGCTTCTGGATTCTGATTCATGGCCTCTTCCATGGGTTGTGGGTGAACCTTCTGGCTGTTGCTTTCACGGAGTTGCGTATCCTTTGCTCCAGTGGGTAGCATAGCTGCTACCAACTTTCAGGTGGTTAAACTGTCCTCTTCTAGAAAAAAAAACCAATAATACAGAACCTGGAAACTCCTAAGGAAGTTTTAGTGCATTCTCTATAGACCAACAAGAAGGTTAAAACATATAGAAACACAATAGAGGTTTTTAGTAAAGCTCAAGAAAATTATGTTTAGAAAATGTTAAGCTCGTCTCAAACAAAAATGGAATAACTTGCAATTAGACGAAAAGGGGCAAAATATGCATATGAAGTTTTAAAAAGCTGTGGGGCTCTGCACTAGGCCTACGGACTTGTATCTCTTTGCAGAGTCAAATAGAATTGCTCTTTGTGGTTACGTAACACTGAAATAAATCTTTGACTCCTTTTTCATAAAGTGGCTCATCATAAAGAAACATTAGATTATGACAAACAAAGGAGAAAAACAAAAACCATAACGGCAATAATAGTAGATACTGGACATTCTAATGACAAAGTCAACTTATTAAGTGAGGTGGCCCAATATCCTCATAAGTTGGTGTTTGTTATCATATTTAAATGACGTGGAACTTGAGTTTATTTACCCTTTAACATAACTATGGGAAGCTAAAAATTTTGTGAACACAAAAATAAGGATAACAAACACCCAAATCACAAAATTGACAAAATGAGAAATGGGTAACAACTGCCTTACCTATACGAACCGCATATTTGCAACAGAGTATATCCAGCTACCATAATTCCCCTTCTAAAAAGCAGAAACGAAGAAATTAAAGAAGTAATAACAGACAAAATTATTCATGTATATTATATAAACGTAATTGAACAATTTCAATATAATCCCATCGAAGTGCTGGCTTAACGTTAACAATTATCCATAAAAGTCTCAAAATACTTTTTTAGGAAAATAAAGAAATCTAGGCCACAGCTTTGATTCCCTAATCTTTGCAGAACTATTTGTTATCTTCAACATAAATCTCATAAAAAAAAATGAACCAGTATTCTCATGCCCTAGAACTCGAATCGGTGACTAAATGGGATCAATAGAAAATTAATCCCAAAATACAACTTCTGAAAGATATTCCATCAGTTTACAGATCTAACAAAAAAAAAAAAAATCAAAGAAAAACTCAATAGGGACGTATACAAGTACTGAGAATAACGGGATTTTAGGTTTTTCTTTTTCTAGCAAAATCAAAAATGAAAAAAAAAAAGAGAGATTTCATCACACTTAGAATTGAAATCAAGCAGTAATGCATATACAATAGGGAAAATTTCGGATTAAGATCACTGAAGAGAGAAAAAAATACCTCAAAATTTCGAGATCTCTACGACATTTCTCCTTCCTCCACAATGTTCCGCTGCTGAATTTGAGCTTCCATTCCACTCAAGTGGAAAGCTCAATGGTAAAGCCAAGGAAAGGAAGCTTCGATTTTTCTTTCGGAAGAGAGAGAAAGTGTGTGTGTGTGTGTGTGTGTGTGTGTGTTCGGCCAGAGGAAGTAGGAAGGGTAAAGAACAAGAAAAGTAAAATAGGTGGAAGAAGCAGAGAGCGAGATGAAAAGGCCAAAAGACAATTTTTCCGAGAGAAAATTGTTTGAATGGATTGTTGGAAGTCTTTTAACTTCATTAATGCTTTTTGACTAATATTGTGATTAAAAAGTATTAATTGAGGTTTTTGTCTCATTTTCTTTGTTTTCAAATATTTTCTTAATTTTTTTATTTTTAAAAATAAGTCGTTTTTTTGGAGATAATCCTATTAATAATGTTAGTTTATTATTGTTGAATTTGAAAAAAAAAATCATATCAGATTAAAAAAATATACATAATTAATAATTTATGATGCATATCTAACGATTAAAAATACAGAACTACTCATAATCAATTTTTTATGGTTCTACCAAAAAAAAGCTCCACTAAAAATATATTTCTTTTTGTTAAATAAAGTTTTTTTTTTCCTTTTTGAGGGGCTAAAAAAAATTTTAATGCACAAAAACTCTAATTAACTAACTTAAACTCTTTGATCAGCAAAATAAAAAATAAAAAATAACGTAAACTCTTTGATTAGCAAAAAAAAATATCATAAATATCTGAAGTTTTTAATAATTAATAAGAAATAAAAATTTGGGGTGTGGAAGATATTTTTTTCTCAATAATTTCTTATGGTTTTTTTTTTTTTTTTTTTGGTCTTGTTTTGTGTATTTAGTGTAACACGAGGACTTTTCAAGAGGTTACCATTTTAGTACTATTCTCGTCCAACTCCAAACATAGGCTCACGTGAGATCTAGCGCATCAATTCTGATTTTTTTTTTCTTTTTATTGAATATTTATCTTACCAATCGTCTCTTGCAACTTAATTTTTTTCCTAACATCTCTTAATCCTCTTTTAAATATATGTACAATAAGTAAATAACGAAAAGTAACTAGTGAACATATGCACTTGACATTTTATTTTTACAACTAAACAATTTCTTTTATTAATCATACTCTCCCAAATCTTTTTAAGAGTTTAGAAAGGAAAAAAAAAAAAAAAGACGGTATATCATTTGTTCTGTTTTTTCTCTTTACTCTTGCATTATCATGTTATTCATTGTTTTTGTACTTTAAAAAAAAATCTTAATCGTGTTAGGATTTCTTTTATTTATGTATTTTTATTAATAAGATAAAACTTAAGGGATAGTAGGTTGGAAAGGAATAATTGAATCATACAAAAAGATATTTAGTGGGAAAGATATAAATCAAAGTCATAATAAATTAATTTAAGTTTCATATCATATATAATGATCGGCATTGCTTATTTTATTTTAAAGGTTTATGAAAAAAAAAAAAAAAGATATAAATATAAAACTAACTAATCGAGTCTCATATTACATACAAAATATTTATTTCCTTGTCTTCTATTTAAAAAACCTACTCATAATTTTTCCATTAGATTCGTAAGTTATATAGCCCCAAGTAAGAAATAAGGTATTTTCTCGAAGCTTTTCGAAGGGTTTCCAAAGAATCAAATTGAACAAGAAACGAATAATCTCCAAAATTTAAGAAATTACTCTGGATTTTCTTTTTTCCTTTTTTCAAACAACTTTTTCTTTGCTTTATTTTTCCCAAAAAATTTGGATATTATTCTATTTTATTAGTTATTAATTATTTGATCAATTAATATATAAAATAAATTGTTTGATCAATAACTTTACAGTTCCGTAATTTTGTAATTTTAAAGATTAAAATTCGTTCGTTAAAGTTCTAGAGCATAAAAGCTTATAATATTTAAAAAACATAAAACTTTATGAGAGAAAAAGAAATACAGCTTCCCCATTCAATATTTATATGTAGCTAAAATATTAGACACAATATAAATATTATACAAAATATGTCTATTCTTTTTTTTTGTGAAATGTAATATTGAAATTTGTATTGGTTCAAAAAAAAAATATTAATATTTGTATTAAGATAGTTTAAAATAATATATATACATATATTCTTGAACCATCACATATCCATAATTGGATGTTCCATATAAGCTTAAGAAATTAAACAAAAACAAAAAATTACGAGTTACAAAAGGTGGTGAAGAAAAGATCATTTCCCTCTACTCGTCTCGTAGAGACAGAATTTCTCAGAAAAAAAAAAAAAAGAGAAAAAAAACTCATTGATAATGCATATACATAATAAATATATAAAATAAAAATGTAAACAGGTTCTTCGTTTCTTTTTGAGGGAATGTTTTCGTCTTGTTTTTCGCTGAAGCGAAGGGGAAAAAAGAAAAGTAGAAGGGGTGATAGGTTTCATAATAAACATGCTTGCTTAATCAAAAAATATGAAGTCATAATTCGTTATAAGTAGTAAGATCATAATTAAGGACCCACTCTTTATGTTATAGTAAGCATATGGTATGGTAATTACTCTGTTTTTCTTCCAAGTAAAGTTATGGCTCCCTTAAGAGCAAGCAAAAGGTGGTCACTACATAACCTTGTCGCGAATTCACGCTTAAACTCACCTTGAGGTGTGGAGTTCAAATCAATAGAGTGTTAAAAGATTAAGATGAAAATTAAAGTAATGACGTGTTTACTTATCAAGATTCAGGAATGAGAGTGAGAAATAAAAGTCAATTTCATATTTACTTGCTCTTTTATATCCTTAAATGGGAGTGAGATTGGTGGCCCCACTCAATTTTAAGATTAAGAAATGAGATTGGTACTCTCATGTCTCTCTTAAGATTGTAACTCTCATTCCTAATATTAACATTAAATTACTATTATACTCATATTTTACTTATAAATATAAAATTTTAAAAATAATAATTACAACATATATATATTATTTTATTTGCCTAAATATTATAATATCAGCCTAATTATTATTAACTTTAATAAAATAAATATGTAGTTTATTTTTTAATAAATTAATCATTTATTTTAAATTTTTAACATAATTTGTTATTTTTATTTATTTTATTTAAATTTTTAACAATTTATTTTTATATTTTAAATAATTGTACAATTTATATTTATTATTTTAATGACTATTATTACACTAAATATTTATATATAATAAGTACAATAATTTATTTTTTAATTAAAAATATAAAATTGAGTTAAAGGGTATATTACTATTTTTACACTTTTTCATTCAGATTATGGGTGTAAGTAAACGCATGAATAGGATTTGGTATAACTATGATTCTGAATCTTGTCACCAAGTAAACAATTTATTCTGACTCTGATTCCTCACTCCAATCCTACTCACTCTGCATCCTGCCCACTGCAATTCATACTCATTCCGATTACGCATAGTTCATGTTTCAAATTTGTACAATAGGAGTTTCAAATATGAATATCTTTCTTAAATAATATATATCTAATGTGAAAAAAAAAAAAAAAAATATATATATATATATATGTGTGTGTGTGTGTTTACGACTAAATTTATAAGTTTTATCTCCTGTTAAAATACGTGGCTTTCTTTGAAGTCAAGTTCGTTAATTTGAGCAAGAAGAAAAAAAATATATTTGACAAAAATCACATTTAAAGTAATATAAGAGTTTTTATTATAAAACATTAAGTAAGGACATATTTGAAAGGATTTTTTTTAAAGTAAATACAATTTTATTAAAAGGTCATCAAAGGGTTAGTATACATGAATGCATCAAAGTTACAGGAACTGGTGCCACTCACAAGACGACATTAAAAACGCACCCCTAATCCAATAATAGGGAAGACACCTCCCAAAAGTGACTCTATAACATTTGGTCACAAAAAATTGACTTAAAGTGAGCCAGATCCTATTCCTATAATGGACCTCACACATACCTCAGACCATCAACAGTGGGGAAACCAACCACTGGCTGAGGGAGAAAACATCACAGACTGAGAGAGGTAGGGAAACTACTCTCTAGCTAGAGGAACACACCGAGGGATAGGAAAATCATCGCCATTATTACAGCAAAATAAAGAACAAAATATAAAAAACTATACACAAATCCACAACCTACACTAGAGAGATCTGGTTGGAGATAGTGTGAACACCACGAGCAAGCAACTTTCCCAAGTCTGTCTATGAGTTTTCAGAGTCCACCACCGATGAACACCTTCCGAAGATCGTGTAAAATCACCAAGAAACTTATACTTTCATGGGATAGATCTGACGAAACGCCACCTCTTCTAGTTACACGGAGTCCATCACCTTATAGATCGTCTCGCTGCGAGGTCAGATATGAGATTTTTATAGCCAGAGGTCTAGCGACACGCCGGACCTTTGGCCAAAGAGAAAAGGCCAGAGAGAAACTTAGAGAGAATGAGGAGAAAAAGTTTTAGAGAGAAAGAGCGCCTTAGTTTTTTTGTGCAATTTTGAAATGATTTATTTCAATTAAAAGAAAGTGAGAAAAGTATAATATTTTAAAGAATAGGCAAAATAAAAGAAGAAATAATTGAAAAAGGAAAACTAAAAATAAATGAAAAAAATAAAGTACCATATGAGTTCTTTACAAAGAAAAAAGAAAAAATATAAGTAGAGACATATTTAAACGAATCTATTTTAAAGAATGATATGGTAAAGATTTAAAAGAAAAAAAGAGAGAGATGAAGGAGAAGGTGCAGCCACCTGACAGCATGAAAAAAAAAAAGAGAGAGTTTTGGCTCTTTTTAATGTGTTAGATGTTAAATTAGATTAGATTAAAATGAGTTTAGAGACTAAAAGGTAACTTTTTCAAAATAAATAATGAAATAAAGACATTAAAATATATATTATTAGTCATTGAACAGATAATGTAACATCCGCACTCGTAAATGTAACATTGAAGAAATTAACGTCTAAAACCAAGGTACAGTATGAGTAACATCTATAATTATAGTTAATAGTATTAATACGACTTTTTAATTAACACAATTTGATCGCAAACAAAAATAATTAGTAAAACTATTTGGTTAGGACATTTTCGTTACAATAGTCTTCTAATACTAAGGTTTTGTTTAGTATGATGGAAGGAGAGTAGGAATGAAAGAAAAAGTTAAAGGAATAAGAATTACAAAAATATGAAGGATGAAGAGGATTATAGTCATTGAAAATGTTTTT